AAGGGTCACACTTATGTGGAGTGAGCTCGAGAGGAGCTGGGGCCTGAGACCCAGGAGGAGGCCAACAGCATCAAGAGGCTGGGTGGACCATCAGATGGATCCCATGGCAGTGTCCCTGCAAGCCAAGGCACCTAGAGAGGCAAGGACCAAGGCACAACTGGGGATGTCTGACTTCTGAATCCCCGGAGCAAGCCTGCCTTCTCACGCTATGTCCTTTGTGTGTGTGTGCATGTGTGTGTATGTGTTGGAATTCTTGTCATATCTTATCAGTCTAGTAAGGAAAAGGTAGATGATCTTCCTCTGGGAGCCTGTTCTGCCTTTGCCCACCCCTGAAAGAGCCAGGTGCAGGTGGCATTCAATATCTTCTATTAAAAAGTTGAATTTAGCACAAATGAATATAACTTTCTTTGGTATTTTAATGTAGCATGTTCCCCCATTACTTTGAAACACATGGACATACAAGCAAAAAGCCGCACTGAAAAGAGTAACAAGTGCATAAGATATATGGAAAAAGAATTGATGTTTCTCGTAAAGCTTCCTTCCTGTGGTTCCCATGGCTGTAGGAGTCACCTGCTCTGTGGGGAAAAGGGCTCTATTTTTGCTCTAGAGCTCTCCCCACAGAGTTCTATAAATCTACGTGCGGCAAAGTTTGGGACATGTGTAAATCATTTTCTGTCTGTCTGGAGAATGTTTTTAGATAAAGTCTTCAAGTGTACATCACTGAACAGTTTAATAAAACCATATATTCGAATATTTCCAGTACTCTAGCATAGTTCAATCTGTGATTTATTTGTTGTTGAATGTTTTACATTAATTTTGTCTTTGAAAAAGGTTAAACCTGAAATTTTATGAGAAACTCCCTTCCTTTGAGGTTAGAGATTGGGGTAGCTGTTTTTATCTGGTTGCCAGGTAGAATGAGTGTTTACTGGACAGGGTGCGTTGATTCAGGAGGTTGTCTGTGGAGTGTTTGCCCCGCGAGGGTCGTATTAAACTGCAGAGTAGCTCCGTGAACAGTGAGGCATCTTGGAGACAGTATATCAAGCTGATGGATACAGGGCTCGTCTGTTCAGAAACTGGGGTGGAATTATGGCTGGCGTCCCGTGATTACTTCGGCACTAAGGAGCCTCTGCAGAGTATATCTAGGATAAAAGGGGTTAATCAGAGAGGAGAGAGAACTTTCCGGTAAGCACCTGTACTGAAAGCATACAGGATGCATAGTTGTGTATAAATAATTTAAGGTGGTCATTTGTTTGGAAATATGTTGAAAGTGTGACCAATTTAATGAGTGTACTGTTTTGTTGTCATTCCGAAGAGAATATATGCCACTTTAGTATTATGAGACCTGCCTTGGGACACTCCTTTGCCCTTGCTCAGTGCTACAGGAATGCAATTCTTAACACCTACATATTAAAACTAGCGTTTTTCATGTTGGTGACTGACAGCGAATATTCAGAATTTAGGTGATCAATAATATAGTAATTCCTCTTTTAAAAAATTATTTTAAAAATAAAAGAAGGAAAGCGTTAGCAAACAGACATCCATTTACCAAATAGCATAAGAATAATACAAGCAATACAGAGATACAGGCAAAGTGGTAGGAAATTAACAGTGGTTGTATTATGTATTGATATCTTCAAAGTGATTTCTCAGGAAAACAAATAGAGACATGCAAGATTGATCAAATAATTAATCATTAACCATTCCTTTCAGTAAAGTGATAGAAGTCAGTAGTACAACTGTTAGCTATCCTGTATACACATACATATATGTACATAAATATAGTAATTCCTTCATGCAGAAAAAGTAGGTCAAAACCAATAAGCAAATAAGAGGCCTAGTTTTATACATTCTGCATCACGTGCAATTTGACTTTACTTTTTTTTTCTTTTTCCTTTTTTTGGTACTAGTGATCAAACTCAGGACCTTGCACTTGCCAGGCAAGCACTGTACCACTGAGCTATATCCCCGGCCCTGGACTTTACCTCATTCCCATGTTTTTTCAGTGCTTCTCTTACATGTGTGCACTTGTTATAAATCATTCAAAGAATATTTACCAAATAAGCGATGAGCGTTGTTTAAAGTGTTTGTGATGGAAAAGTATCACCAAAAAAATCTTTAGCAGTGAGCACCCTTCAAAGCAAGGATTTACAGCTAAGTTGCTGGACAGTGGGCCCTGGAAGGCAGTCTTCATGAATTTCCTAGTCGCGCCTCACTTTCACTAATGGAGCAGACTGTTTCATTCCGTCTCTCTCCCTTCAGACACCCGGGTCAGCCTCAAACTGTAGGCACTGAGCTGACAGCTTTGCTTTCATTCTGCTCGCTGTGGCAGTGGGCATCCATCCACAGGGGAGAGCTTCGCTGCCCACACCACATGCTCTCTGTGCTCACGTCTGCGCAATGGGCCACCGTCCCTGCTCTTGTCAACCGACAGCAGCCCTGGCTCTCTATTCCAGGCACAGTGCCCTGCTTTGTCTCCCTGTCCCCACACAGGGACAATGCTCTGGCAATTAGTTCTTCTTCTCCTACACTATCACGTCCTCCAGTCTCCTCTGGGATCCTTCCCATGAGCACATGTGTGGGACTCCACACCTCCCAGCCTGTACAAAACCTGGCTTTAAAACCATGAGTTTGTGTAGTGGCTCATTTTCTACTCCCTGGGAGAACTCACTCCTTCAAACCGAGTTGTCTAAATTCGCTGCATCCGTTCACTCCTCCCATTCATTCCCTTCCCAAGCTTTTCTGATTAGACGGCATGGCTACCTCTGCATGGCTTCTGTCCTTGGGAAGGTCGCCAGACACCTCCGAAGTGAAATCCCCAGTGCTCTGCTTTCTTAACCCGCAGCACCCCCGACACAGCTGACGTGTCCTTCCTTTCTAATACGTGTTCTTTCCTTGGCCTCCAGCATGCGCTTCCTCCCAGCTTTTCTCCCACCCCCTAAGTGCTGCTTCTTAGGCTCTTGCTTGATGGGCCTCCGCCTGAACTCAGAATCTGGGTGGCTTCCTGGGCTGAGGATATAAACCCTTCCTCTGCTCACCCGGGCCTCACCCTCACTCCCTAGTGTAGTTCATCGCCTCTCAGGCTCTCCGCAGCACGTCTATCTGCATTGACCCGCAACTTCCCTCTGAGCTCATTTCTGCAACTCGTTCCTTGATTCCTCCACTAAAGAGCTCATTATTCAATATTCATCTTCAGCGTACCTGACAGCTGCAGATGTTATGGCAGCCTCCCTTCGCCCCAAACATCTCCGAGTTGCCTGCCTTCCTGCAGTCTCCACATTGGACCCAAACTGTTGTCTGGAAACTGAAACTGCCCGCTCCTTTTTCACTTTCTCTTCCCTTCTCTCACCCTGCTTTATTCTCCTCCAGGGTACTTATCACCCCAAATGGCATTCCTTCCTGTCTCCTTTTGCTCATTGCCCACTCCTACCCATAAACGCAAACTCGACAGAGGCAGGAATGATGTCCGCTGTTCTCAGGGCCATTTTCCCTCCATACAAAGAACAGTATTTATCACAGAATGGAGCCTGGATAAATGTGTATTGAACAAATGAATAAATTATGAATGAACTCAAAATCCTTGCAGAAGATTGATGGGACCTGTAATCTAATCCTCCCACTCTTATCCCTGGGTATTTGCTAGCCTCAGTGTCCATGGGCAGGTTCTCCGGATTTGTGGAGCACACAAGATATACAGATGACACAAGACTGTATGGGGAAGAAGATGGGAAATAGACCCCGATATTTCACTTGTTCTTATTATTAGTCACATCTCTTCCTTCACCAAAGCCTCCACCAAAGCCTTACCAGAATTCTGGTAATCTGTGTGTGAAATGAATTTATGTTAGAATGATCACAAGAATCCTAAAAATTTACACTGTAGTACTAAATTATGCCAAAGAAAGTTCAGGTCATCCAATCAAGTAACAATACTACTAATGACAGTTGCCATCTAATAATTCCCAGAGCGTTGCTCTCATCACAATCCTACAAGAGAAGCATATTACCCTTATTTTATAGCAAACAGAGGCTCAGAATCATTGGGTGATTTTCCTATAGCCACAGAGCTTTGCTTAATTTACTTTTATGTTTCCAGATCGTTGTAGAACAAGCACTGATATGAAAGGTTCATTCAAGTTATGTTGGTGGAAAAACTAAAATAACCAGAATCATCTGCTGAAATGTCTTAGTAGAATAGGTCTTAATTTTACTCATTCTTGTTAGGCCTTCTAGAAGCATTCAGATAGATTTCCCTGATGGATTGTATCAAGCAGGTGCACTAAATTCAGCACTCATAATTTGATTATAATGTATTTAGCAGAGTTTTAGCTCTGCTAGAAAAGGCAACGTGCGTGGAGCAACTGATTTCATGTTTGTATAAGGGCAAGACTCTGTGGGAAGTATAAAGTAGTATAGCAAAGTGGAGGGAAAATGTTCATTGTCCTTATTTTCATGAGTGAACAGTAAGCCCACAATATTCTACATTCGTTGTTACAGAAAAATTAAATTTTAGGGAACTTCTTTCCTGCACAAACAAAAGCAAAATCCAGTTTTGTTCACGAGTAGGCTGTGATTAAGGTGACAATGGGTGACACTGCTGGGAGGACTATAGTACCTATGAGACCTGGACTGCATCAGCGTTGAGCTGCTGGTCTGCTGATGACAGCGGTAAATTAAAAAGTCTCTAATATTTGCTTCACTAAATCCCCTCCATGTTTTCAATTAGACCAGCAGAAGTACAGGTGGGAAAGTGCCGCCTATTCATTTGTCTTGCCGTTTGGGGGGCTGGCTTTTCAGAACTCACATACTAATGTAATTGTGTTGAAATGAACAGTAAGGAAGTACAGTAGTTCAGGAAGGAAAATGTTAAATTAAATGGACCATGTTTAACATTGTTGTTGATCCCGAGGAACAGTTTTTCCAGTATATGGAGCATTTCGATTCCACCCGGCATATGTTCTCCACAGTTTTCTCTGCTCTAATTCATCTGTGTTTTTCGACAGCTCCAGATGGTGTGCTGCCTCCCAGGCTTTCATCTGCCACCCCGACCAGTCTTCAGGTTGTCTGGTCTACACCAGCTCGGAACAACGCTCCCGGCTCTCCCAGATACCAGCTCCAGATGAGGCCGGCCCACTCCACCCTCAGCTTTCGAGAGTGAGCTTCTGCCTCGGCCTCCTTCCTCTCACATGGCTTCTTCCAAGCACACGTAACATCTTTGGGGAAGAGTCCAGTTCTCATTTGCAAGGAGCAGAGGTTACCTTTTAAAAGTGCAAACAAACAAACACCAGTGAACAACCTACTGGATAATCATTTGCTTTGCAAAAACATGTACTTTTCATTTATGTACCATTGAAAGTAAGATCTTCCACACTAAGGATTTCTTCTTACTAAAGTAAGGCTTCATGAACACAGGTTTTGCATGAGGTGGGAATACGCCTGGAACTAACAAACCACTGCCTGTAGTGTAGCTGGAAAATTATAATACCACAAACTTCACCTGGAAAGCAGTCTCAGCACTCCTAGAATCTGAACCTCATATAAACACAAGGTTCCACACCCCCAGCCACTTGGTTCTTATTTTGAAAGAGATGCCACGTGATGGCACAAAACAGTAGTACTTAAGTGCGTGTTGGCATTCTCTGATGTTTTTGCAATTTTTTAACCTGCTCTTTTTCCTCTTTGCAGGCCTAAAACCTGCTAACCAGCATTTCTTTCCCTCATAGATTGTTTTCCAGCCCTTCTGCATCATTGCTCCACGAAGTGAGCGACCTCCAACCGTACACAGAGTATGAGTTCCGGTTGGTTGCCTCCAATGCATTTGGCAGTGCGCACAGTTCTTGGATTCCACTCCTGACTGCAGAGGACAGTAAGTGGTCTGAGCTATACCCGGCCAAATATCTTGGACCTTAGGGAGCCTTAGATGTCTAATTCTTCCCAAGCAAAACAATGAGCCTTTTCTCTTTTCTCGTCATTAAATGCCAATAATCTTTTCCAGGCAAGATAGAGGACAAGGGTGGTCAGGCTCTCCAGAAGGAAATGTGGGCTTGGAGTGTTGGAGAGCTTGGTCTACAGGCAAGAAGTAATTCACAGTATGTTAGGACGTGACCCTGTTCTGTCCTTTGGGGGTGCACTTAGGCACCCTGCAAAAGCAGGGCAGTGTCTTCTGCTCTGTGACAGATGGTCTCTGCTCGGGAGGAATGCTGGCATGCTGGAGGAAATGCAACGTGGATGCTGCACCACAGCAGTGCTTACGGTGTCTCTATATTTCCTTCTGGGAACTAGATCCTGTGGTGTTATCAGAAATTTATGTTTGATAATTATGCTTTAACTAAGTTATGTTTAGGAAATAAATAAATGGATGTGTTATTTGGTTTATATGAATTATATGTCTAGAAGTATAAATATTTATATATATATGTAGGTATGAAAGTTGGAAATCAAGTTATGCAGAGTGAATGAGGCACTGTATCTTTGAACAGTGAGGTTTTTAGGGTTAATCTTGTCAAGTGTTTTAATCACGGGCTCCTTAGGCGATGCTGTCCTGTTGGCCAATTGCCATTCTGGCTTTATATCTAATGAAAATCGGAGTGACTTCCAGAAGGCTGGATATTAATACAATGGTACAGAGTTGGAAGTGGCATCAATTATATATTAAGTAGGTGGTTTTATTTTTATAATACTTCTAATTGTATTATTTTAGTGATGATAAGACATAAAATGAGAGAGAATTTACTATCTTTAAAGTTTACTTCACTTTTTAAAATACCATTCTGAATAATAATATATAATACTTAATCCATTTCTCCCAATTTGTCATTATTCCCTGGAACAACTTAGGCAATCTACAAGGGTACAGCCAATGTTTTTGGTCTCAAGGGTACCATTTAGAAAATTATCAGTACAGGAGAATAAATGGTGCCCAAGACCTAGGAAGCATTAATGCCCCACCTTTTAGGGGGAGCATCACATACTTTGGAGAATCAAACACCATGGTTATGAATTGTATTCAGATTTATGAACTGGAGTGCTCAGGCTCAAAATAGATTTTTAAAGAATTTTTTTAAAAAAATCTCTAATCTTATATAGAGCAGCATGCTTAATGACAGTCAGTGAAGATTAAAACAATAACTATTCAGCCCACTGCAAAGATGCTGGTGCAACAGAATGCCAGGTTGGAAGAAGAGGCAAAGGGCATCCTTTCTTGACATTATAATTTCTTTTTTTGCAAAGAAAAGACCACTCTAGGGTTTTCTCAGTGGTCATCTGCCCATAATCCTTATTGAGTGAGGGCCATGACCTCCTATCTCCAGGCAGGAGGGTGGCACATAAATAAAAAGAATCCAAGGCATTGCGAATTACCAATCAGTGTGGTATACTTTGCTGAGTAAAACTTACCTCCTGTCTCCTCTTTTTATAAAACGAGTCCTACAGACTGTGTGCTGAGAACCTTCATGCAGAGAACTTACTGTCTTTGTGATACTTGGGGCCTGCGGTTGGGGTGGCCTGTGTTTCCCTTAAGTAAGAATGAGTGATGCAGAAATGCACAGCAGGTAGTAACTCGAGAAATCCAACCAAAGTTGTTATTCAGATCCTTTTCCCAAAATGGGTGAACTCGCCCTGCCTCGGCTTTGTGTGGACGCTGGGAAGTCGCACATGTTAGCTAAGACCGGAAGCAGACTGTTTGCCCCTGCAGGTTAAGTTACCAGCACACACTCACCCCCAGCATGTGGTGACAGTGTCCTGTATATTTAGGTGTCAGTGGAGATGGATGCTGTCTGCCAGCCCATGTGCACTTGAGTTGACTGATTGGCATTGGACACAAGCATTTTCTCTGTCATGGCCACAGAGCACTGCTTCTCAAGCCCCATCTCCTGATAGCAGTGCGTCAGCACAACTTCAGACTTCATCCTGAGCAGAATTTCCTGCTCACCAAAGTGTAATTTCCAGTCGAGCTTGGTGGTGCATCCCTGTAATCCGATCTCTTGGGAGGCTGAGGCAGGAGGATCATTGTGAGTTTGAGACCAGCCTGGGCTACAAAGTAAGCTCAAAGCCAACCCAAACTGCACAGCAAGATCCTGTCTCAAAATTTAAAAAAAAAAAAAGTGTAATTTCCAATGTGGAAATCTCACATCTCACCTTACAGAATGAAACCAAAAAGTCACATCATGCCCACATTTAAATCCTCCATTGCCCACATTCTCCAAACCTCCCAGTGCACAAATAGGTCCCCCATGGCACGATTTTTAGTGTAATATTTTGTGACAAAGAAACTCCTCAAGCCCATGGCTGAAACCAGAAAGAGAAACCTAAGGAAATGAACCACCGCCACTAGAGAAATGCTCAGGTGCGAAGAGAAGCTCTCGTGGATAGACAAAGGGTTGTGAAGAATTTTAATAGATTTTTTTTCAAATAATTTGTCATTTACATTGGTGTACCACCAATATCCAGGTCCATGCATTTTTAAAAGTCTAGTGTGCTGATGCCAAATAATAATAATGCACATTTCTTATGAATATTTTAAATCCTGTTAAACGTGTGTTAATAAAAGATGTTTGTCCCAGTCAACTTGGTCAGTGTAGTGTTAGACTGTTTGCAACCAGATAAACACAAACAACACGCGATTTTCTCTAATGTGCTGTTGGCAATCCAACCCCCTCACAGGTCCACAGCTTGCCAAAAATGCGTGAAGATAGTGTTAGATTTGGGAGCATGTGTTTAACTAATAAAATGAACATTTCAGTATCTTTAAACCAGAAATAACCATCCATCCTGATATATTCTTCTTCTCTCTCTCTTGTATATTTACGATTGTTTTGTGTTCAATAGATAAATGTAGAAATTGTGCTTGGTGGGGAGGGCATCTTTCCCACGATTCTGCTTTTTTTATCTACTAGAATCCTGTGTTGTATGAAAATAAGATAATTCAAAATATACATACACAAGGTAGCTAAGATAATTGTACTACTAATTGCTCCTAGTTCACTGAAAGGAACAGTTAGTGCTTATATTGTTTGGTCGATCTTGCATGCCTATATCTGGTAACTTGATCAACTACTTTGAAGATAACAATATGCAATATAATAACCATTGTTAATTTCCTATCATCTTGTTTTGAAATCCTGTATCATTTTTATTGGGTTTTTTTTGCTTGAAAATTTAAAGAAATGTAGACCCCCCTGGATTAATAAAAGTCATAAATTTGGTCTTTGTTCTTGTTTTTTAGGTAAGAGGATGAAAATATAAAATTTGCTCTTATTTTGGTTATTGTAATAGCAAATATATCTGGTTCAAGCAGGTAATGAGATTGACTAATGAAAGAAATTTTCTAAAAAAAAAAATCATTCTTTTACTTCAAAATAAAACCCTGCATTGATTCTACAGTAAAGGATTTAGTTGTTGGCTATTTTTAAAATTTGATCATTTCCCCAAATTTATACTTTAAAATTCTACACTTATATTTTTAATTACCAATCTGAGAGAAATTCTTAAACAACATTTGTAGGATTTGAACAGCTCATTCTGTGGGTCTACATGAATGTGTGTGTGTGTGTGTGTGTGTGTGTGTGTGTGGTGTGAGCTTTCATTATTTTGCTAAAACCAATTATTCATGAGTTTTGACTAGCGCATGACAGGTAGATGTATCTAATTAAACACACAGTGAAATTTTAAGTACTGCTGGCATACTGTGATTACTTATTGTGTTAACTTTTGTTATTATTGTTCATTTCTAATTGTTCTGTGACCCAAGGATGGAGAAGCTGGAAAATCCTCCTGGTGTCTGGGTCCTGCTTTATTTTTCCCCTTAGCAACCTGCCTTCATCTTTGAGACATTCACAGCAATTTACAAAGGGCCCAGGTCCTTGTAGAGTAAGACAGAAAGGGATAGAAATGTTAATTCAGATCCAGATCTCAACAGGGTTCTTCCTCTCTTGTTGCTTGGCAAATATCACCTTCTCTGTGAAGCCCTCCCTTCTCATCACCCCCTTAGAACTTTGGTTTGTAT